ATTTGAGTTGCAACCAGAGTCATGGAACGGATTAAATTCGTAACTCGAGGTTCCACTGTATGTATGTATGTGTGTGTATATGTGTGTGTGTGTGTGTATATATATATATATGCGCGCAAGAGCATGTTATAAGCACATAAACGTTACTTTTTTTCTAATGTTGGCAAATATTGTCTGTAGTTTTAAGCATAGTAGAATCTTTATTTCTAAATTTTAGAAATTGTCCAATTACCTAATAATAATAAATAATTACAACTGTACAGTATGTTCGTGTACTGTGCTTGTATACCAAGTTCACTTAATAAAGGAGGTGTTTGTGGAATACTTCTCTTAGTATTAGACATTATTCCCAAGAGTTTTTGAATTTGCAGGTGCAGATTTTTTATGTGCATGTGTGAGTATGCATGAGTTTAAACCTTTATTCTAGTTAAGTTAAATTTGTTCTGTTCGTGGAATGAAAGCTAAGATCCAAGCCAGTTGTTTGAACCCCTTACAAGCCTATAAAGCAGAACAGTATTATTTTATCTACTTCATAGAACTGTGGAGTTGGAAGAAACCACAAGAATCATCTAGTCCAGTCCTCTGCTATGTGCAGGAAAACCAATTGAACTATCCTCAAGAGGTGACTGTCCATCCTTTTTGTAAAAACTACCAGAGATGGAGAACCCACAACTTCTGTAGGTAGACTTTTCCACTGTTGTACAGTTCTTTCCATCAGGAAGGTTTCCTTTATATTTAAATGAAATCTAGGTAGCTGCACCTTACATCCATTATTTCTTGTTCTAATGTAACAATGGAAAATAGTTCCTGACTATCTTCCCTGTGGCACCCTTTACCTAAACTACTGATATAATATTTCCCTTCAGCGCTCTTTTCTCCAGACTGGACATCCCACATTCCTTCAGCCTGTCCTTATAGAGCATGTCCTCAGATTAGTGTATCATCGTTGTTGACATGTTCTGACCTGTCCATACGATTCATATGTTACCCAGAATCATACACAATACTCCAGAGGTGGTCGCAATAGAGTAGAGTAGAGAACAATAAGGACTTCATGCATCTTTGATACAGCACTTCTTCTAATGTAGCAGAATATGTTAGCTATTCTAGCAGCTGTCTCACACTGCTGACTCTGCTCAGCTTGTTATCAGTTATCACACCTAAGTTCATCTCCAAAGTACTGCTTCCAAGCCTTGAACCCCTCATGTTTGTATGCCCTCTATTTTTCCTCCCTAAATATGATAGCTTATATTTTTCCTTGTGGAAGGGCATTTTGTTTCTCCCAGCTCAGTCTTCCAACCAGTCCAGATTAGATTGCAATCTTGTTCTGTCATCCTGTATGTTGGTCAGACCTCCCAATTTTGTGCTATCCTCAAATTTATTAAGTAGTCCATCAATCATGTTTTCCAGATAATTAATAAAAATATTGAATAATACTAGCCCCAAGACAGATTCCTGAAGGACCCCACTAGTTACTACTCTCCAGCTCAATATAGTGCCATTAATGCTGATTCTCTGAGTGCAATTAGCCAGTTTTGCACCCATCTTCCTGTAAAACCATCCAAGCCACATTGAACTGTTTGTCAATGAGAATGTCATATGGAACTCTGTCAAACATTTTGCTGAAATCATTGTAGATTATATGCACAGTATTTCCCTTTTCCATTAAAACAAGTACTTTAAAAGAAGATGAGGTTTGTCTCATTATGACCTATTTTAGACAGAGCCATGGTGACTTTTAGCAGTCATAACATTTTCTTCAAGATGCTAACAAATGGCCTTAACATATTTTCAGGTATTGATGTTAGGTTTAAAGGCTGATAATCTCTGGGATCCTCTTTTTTTCCTATCTTGAAGAAGGGAGCTTCATTTGCTTTTTTCCAGCACTTCCCCAGTGACTAGGATCTTCAAAGATAATTGACAGAGATCCTGACAACTCTTCAGCCAGCTACTTTAGTATTCTAGAATGTATTGCATTGGGGCCTGGGAATGTTGAAGGCATTCAAATTAGCTAGAAGATCCTTTATCACTTCCTTGTTGACCTGCACTCTTCCCTGTTATGGTTTTTCCCAATCTGTGCTGCTCAAATCATTTC